CCCCCCCCCACTCTCTTTGAAAAGCAATGGAAAAATATCCTCGGTGAGGATTAAAAATAAATAAATAAATTTATCAAATACGCAATGAAGGTGGAAATAAAATGTTTTGGTCATAAAATAAAGGCTAAAGCATTTGTAATTGTTACTGTTAGAAAGAAAACACAGTGCATTTCCCGCATCAGCACCTGCGATGATCTGCGAATGGGCAGAGGCAGCCTGAGCTGACACTGCAGCTCGCAAGCTGGGAGGGTCTCAGGAACACACCACCTCATCAGCAGGACTGGCAAAAAAAAAAAAAGCTCAGCCTGGGATGAGCATTTGGTCACCGTGGCTTTTAGGTTCCAAAGTATTGTGTTTGGTTTGTTTTTTTTAAACACCCTTTCCATGTGCTTGGATCCCAAGACAGAGGGGGACCATAATAATTAGCTTATGATCTTCAGTGTTCGTTGATGCCTTCAGGGCAAGCAGCCAAACTGCATATTGCCAGAATTCCTATAAATTCACCATCAAATCTACTGATTTTTTAAATTTTACTAAAGAATATGTATTGATTTTGTTCTCATTAGCCGACTTTCATTCCATGTCTTTATCCTAACCCACTAGCATTTACAGGTTAAACACCAGCTCAGCCCAACCTTTAAGTAAAAATTGTTGCTATTTTTAACTATGTCATGTGCAATAATAAATAAGGGTAGCATTATTTTTTTAACTTTTTCTAGATGGATTTTTAAAAATAATATCAGGTCACTAACCAAAAGAATACTAATTTGGTTACATAGAAAAAAATTATAAACAAAACTAAGTCATTTCTTTCCAAAGTATAGTCACAAAATAAGAGTCAAGTGATATCTGTGGCCTTATATACAACAGTATTGTAAATATTAAGAATAAAATTTTGGTACATCTACATTTGCCTAGGTCTGACAAGCTGGCTTATGGAAGAAGATCACAAGGTTTCACCACCCCTCCTTTACAGCCTTGCTGTCTTAGCTGATGCCCAATGATTTTTCCAAATTTAATACAGAACACTTACTAGCCAAACTGAGTGAAACTCTTTCCAAAGATATCCACTGAAATAGCCTTACCTCTGTTTCTGTGAGAAGTGTTTTTAGTCTTGTTAAATCTTTTGTTACCATCCCATTCTGAAAACATAAGTGAAAAAGGGAAAAACTGATTAGTTTATTAGTTCTTTACTATGGGGACTTAATTCCTCAGCTGTTTCTAAGGTTTATCTGGAAAGAAAACAATGCAACCCCTCATCTCCCATCCCCACTGTCATTAATTGTGATAATAAAGCTAACCATCTATAAGGAAAGTTTAAAAAGGCTAATTTAACAGGACAAAATACACAGGGTGCCCTAAAACACTGCATTCACCTTCCATAAGAGTTTAAAATCAATCCAATAAAATATTCACAATGGGTATCACCAAAGAGCAGGACAGGATAAATGAAAAGAAAAATAAGCCTAAACTTTTTTAAAACTTTTTTTCCCCTAAAACTAATGGGCTTATATTTGCAAAATGGTGAATTCAATCAGTTACCCACGAATCAGACTCATATAAAATGATGATACCACGTTAAAGGTGGCTCATTAATAAAGATGATAAAGGAAAATATGCAAAATATTTTCTCTTCTGAAATTCAAATTTCACTTGAGATTTAAAGGCAAATTACTTCTTCCTCGTTTAAAATCTCAATAGGTAAAACTATGCTTATAAGCAATATGCTTAACTTATACAAAAAGTTCCTTAAAGAATTTTCTTACTAATACACATATATTATCATTTACTTAGAACTAAAGAGCTATATCATTTTGCTATATTAACAATATACTTTAACTTTAATATACATTTGTGAATTTGGTGAAATCAAAAAAACATTGTTAAACCATTTAAACAATACACTACACAATATAATTCCTTAGGAAATAACTAAATTATTACCTGAGATGGGTCATTACGTTACACTCAGCAGCATACCAAGTACTTTCCTAATTCCTTTTCTTTAACCAAATATATTTATTTGCATAGAAATAACAACTTTGCACCAGATTTTCACAATTTATATCAATTCAAAAGAATAAGGGAATAAAATAAAATAGAGAATTCATGCTATATAGCAAAGAATACATAGCCTTCTTGCTTTCACTCTTTGTATTATGATTCCTGAAAAGTATCAGATAATTTTATAACAGTTACCAACTGCTGAGAAATAGAGTTATTACATACTATCTCTTACTTTCCAATTTCTACAGACTGCCAACTCTGAAGTTTCAAAAAGGAGTCTTTCAATTACATCAACCAAAAACAAACTCTAGAAAATTAAATGCTACATAAAAAAAAAAAAGTAATCCCAAAGTCTGAATAGAATTAAATAGCTCCATCAGAGTGGTCATGAATATGAACTTACACACATACCATCTTCAGAAACAAAAGTAATTATTACTTAGTTTAGATAAATGTAAATATTTTATGAAATAAATAGCTGAATTTGAGAACCTGATAAAATCATATATCCACAGGAGAATTTTAAAACATAAACAGAACCAAAAATATTTCCAGGTTATATTAAATTATATCTTTAAAGAAAATCATTTAGCTATCCTATACTTTCAAAGTTTTAAAAAGTACCTGTAGTTCTTTTATACATATTTTATCACAAACTACAAGAATTCAATAATTAAACATGTTTGTTGAAGAGAAATGAGTATCTCAAGGTACTCATGAACTTTCATTTCTGGTAGGAGAAAACAAGAGAAAAAATGCACATTAATTGTTTTCCCCCAACCTTCCTAAGGAGTCAAATACATGACTCTCTTTTCAGACATTCAAAATTATAATTCATTACCATATGACTTCACTCATGTGGAATGTAAAACTGAAAGCAACAAATGAACTAACAAGACAATCAAACAAACAAAAACTCATATACACAAAAAACTCATAGATACAAACAGTATGATGGTTACCAGAGGGAAACGGTATGGAGCGGGTAGTAAAGGGTAAACAGGGTCAAATATATGGAGACAGAAGGAAATTTGACTTTGGGTGGTAAACACAGAATGCAACACACTGATGATGTATCACAGAATTATACACTTGAAAACTACATAATTTTATTAATGAATGTCAACCCAATAAATTTAATTTTTTTTTAAAAAGCACTGGGGGGTAAAATAAGAGCTCATCAACGTACCAGGGACTCTCCTGTCAGTGACTTGGCAAGAATGTTGGATACAAGTTGGAGCTTTCCTTTCAGCTGCATGCAGCAAAGCACAGCCTGAAAGGCACCATCTCCCTTGGCCAGTCCTTCTCCCAGCACTGTCAAAAATGAACGGCCATTGTTAATCACGTGACATTTAATACACATTTTCCTTGATTTTAATGTTGATGCACTATCACAGCATGACTTCTTACACGCTAAAAGAAAAACTTCCCAGTACTACAGGAAAGGGTGATGTTTTGGCTCTGCGCAGACATGCATAAAGACAAGACAACATGGGACAATCCACATATCTAACCCACTACAGCCTAGAGTCAGTAGGATCCCACCAAAATCACAGGAAGAAGAATGAATCTTAAAGCTCTCAAACCTGAAGAGAGCTTTTAAACTGCAGATATATTCAATGAATGAAGTTCTCACGTTTCTGACAGTAACACAAGAGACCCAGTGCCATTAAAATTCATAAGAACAGAGACTGCAAATCTCAACATTTGGTATTCCTAAGCAATAAAGAATTAGCCTTTATCAAAATCAGAAAGATTAACTAAGAACCCAATTGCCAAATGTCCACTGAAAATACTAACCAATTGTTTGCAAGTGTTGACAGATTTAATTTTACACAATCAAAAGGAGCACATATTTCTAACAATATAGGATATGGTCATTTTTATGCCATGTAATTTGAGATAATTTCTCACAGCAACTACTAATTGTTCAACTAGTAAAATAATCTGTATCTGTATCCTTCTCTTTACTGATTCTATTTTGAGTCTGTAAGATAATAATTTGCTGAAGAAATTGTGGTAATTGCATTTTTTTCTAATTACTTCCAAGGAAATGTTTAAGTATCAGTATAATATATTGCATATTTAGAGTCCATTGGGTCTGCTCATAATATTTTTATTTTAGTTGTACTAAATGTATCCTCTCGTTATATTGTTCAATGTTTTTATTACACAAATAATATACCAACACTAATAAAATTCTACATAAAAGTTTACCACAAGATCACCACTAGACTAGTTTCAATTTATTCATGTTCTCTTTTTTTAGTCAATATTTACATGATTTTTACATAATTGTAACTGATGTAAATATAAGGTTGTATTTTGCTTTATTTCCCCTCGGCACATTCAATATTCCCATGTCACTAGGCTGTTTATATTTATCGTATTATTGCCTGTGCAATGTTCTATCAAGCAGACACATCAATTTAACTATTCCTTTGCTCCAGGACAATTCTAATTTTTAACTATTAAAAATAACACTGCAATAAACATCTTTATGTATAAATCCTTTATTCAATCAGGTAACTAAACTGAAAGCTGGATTCTCTCTGTATTTAAGGTTTTATTCAATTAATTTTAGTTGGGCCAAACTGTTGTCCATCTAAGGTATAGATCACTCATCCACTCAACTGTCACTAGGTAATCCCAGAAAGTAACTCCAATAGAGTATCGTTACGAACGTCTTGAGCATCTTATAAAATTCCAAGGTAAACGCACAATCTCCCTCAGATCTTACTATTCCTAAAACTATTCAAATATGACCTTTAACAAGCCACTTTATCTCTCTGGCCCTCACTGCGGTCATCTGTAAAATAGAGAAATGTATAAATTTGTTGTAGGGATCATATAATATAATGCAATAAAATGCTTTGAAAAAAACACAACAGTCCTACTAAGGTCTGGACTACTTACATTCACTAAGCGTTTTCTCCTCTGTAAAATGGAGGGGACAGTTGTTCCTAATAAAGCTGTGATAAAGATTGACTAATTGTGTTAATTATAAAGTACCCAGCACAGCCTCCTCATAAGAGCTCCCTACATGTTACGTATTCCTCCTAAAAATTATAAAGCAGCTTTGAAAACTGAGAAGGAACTACCTTAGTTCCTTTTCAGTAGCTGGGATATTAAGGCACTACAGTTAAGCGCTAAAGAATGTTTTGGGGAAACAAAAAAAATCTAAGACTATTTCAAGCTCAAATGATAATGTCAGGTTTAAAGAGTATTAAATCATATTATATGTTACAAACACCTTTCATAATCTTCGATTTTGTACCAAGTATTTGCTGCATACTATTTTGCAAAAGTTATCCCATTATATTGATGTTTGAATGTCACAGTATTTCTCAAAATTATGTTTCCCTTTTCGCTCTCTTTTTTAGACAAGAAGCAGAACTGATGTAATTTCTTCCAACTTTTGTTGTTTTCTTAATTGATTTTAGAGAGACAGAGGAAGGGAGGGAGGGAGAGAGGAAGGGAGACAGAGAGACATTGATTTGTTGCTCCACTTATTTATGCATTCATTGGTTGTTTCATGTATGTGGCCCGACCGGAGATTGAACCTGCAACCTTGGCATCTCGGGGTGACGTTCAACTGAGCTCCCCGGCCAGGGCTCCAACTGTTGTCTTTAAATATAATTCAGCTTATGTCTTATGGGATCCCCCATGAAGAACTATGGCAAAGAAATAGTCAACAATTATAGATAAAAAAAAACCTCTCCTGCTACTGCATCATATAATAAACAGCTTTCAGAGGGGAGAGAGGTGGGGGGACTAGATTAAAGCAGGTGAAGGGATTAGCCAAAGAACATATATTCATAACCCATGGACACAGACAATAGTGTGGTAATGGCCAGAGGGAAGGGGGGGGAGCTGGGTGGAGGTGGGCGGGGGTAATGGGGACATCTGTAATAGTGTCAACAATAAAAATAAAGTTATTTTAAAAAATAAACATTATGAGGGGAAAAAATTGCAATGCTGCCAATCTGGTCCCTAATTATATTTAATTTCTTGAACAAGCTGGAAGAAAACAAAGTATGGCCTAGTGTATTATAAAACTTGTCTCAGCTATAATAACTGAACTTGCCAAAAGAGATATTAAAAATATAATCTAATCCTGAGCAATTACAAAAAAGCTACCATTCCCTGAAAATAAATTCTCTTCCCACCAACTATCAGTGAAATTCCACTGAACTGCTCCTTCATGTCCACTGGGAGCTACGAAGGAGGAAATTCGAACAGCTTAGCTGTGTTGCTGCATTCATGTCTCTACCTCTTTTCTTAAGATTTTGTAATATTTTCTCTAACACTTAAAATATGCTTACTTGAAATAGTTTGGACCAGAAACTGAGCAATATTAAAGGAGTATTCATTCAATTGTTCCAACAAAAATAGCCGGTTAGGCCCTGGCCAGGGTTCTCAGTTGGTTACAGCATCATCCTGCTACACCAAGGTTGCAGGTTCAATCCCCAGTCAGGGCACATGCAAGAATCAACCAATGGAAATGCATCAATAAGTGGAACAACATACCCGAGCAGGCGTGGCTCAGTGGTTGAGCAATGGCCTAGGATCCAGGAGATCGGGGTTCGATTCCCGGTCAGGGCACATGCCCGGTTTGCGGGCTAGGCAGCCGATCAATGACTCTCTCATCATTGATGTTTCTCTCTCTCTCTCTCTCTCTCCCCCTCTCTTTTCCTCTCTCTGAAATTAATAAAGATATGTTTAACCTTTAAAAAAAATAAAAATAAAAAAAATAAGTGGAATAACAAATCAATGTTTCTCTCTCTCTCTCTCCCCACCTCCTTTCTCTCTCTCTCTAAAATCAATAAATAAATTTTAAAAATTTAAAAAGCCTGTTAGTGGTTGATAGCCTCTGGCTACCAAAAGAAGAAGATTAATAACTAAAATGTAATTCCTTTGCTTGTAAAGAACTACCTGCAATGAGAAAGGTAATTTAAAACAGCAAATGTTGGTTATTATTCTGTATTTTTCAGTAACATGACCATATTAGGTTATTTCTTTTATCAAGTCCTTATTAATTTCTAAAATCTTTTATTGAAGAACTTAGCCCAATCAAGGTGTTTTTCCCAAGAAAAATTTTAATGACCATAAAAACTAAATCCTTTAGTCATTAATAAAGTAAAACCATTCACTGCTTGGATATAATTACACTCTCTGAACCAACACATCAAAAAACAGGTTTTCAAGAATATATTAATGTATAATTTATAAATAAATTCCTTTCCTAAATATCAGCCATTTAACTTCTGGCAATAAACTTCTTATTTTCCAAAAATATATTTGGGGGCAGATGGAATAGTATATAAGCAGACTCTAAACCCTGGAAGGCCTAAATCTAAGTATTAACCAGAAATTAAAATGTCCATTTCTTACAAGTATCAAAAACTATAACATAAGCCAGAGTAAGTACACTGTGGCAAATCTCTCACCAAGTGTCCATTTGGCCAAATCGGGTTTTCCCCCAACATTCTCCTCTCCCTCAACCCTTTTCCCTTGTCCTCACTTTTCTTCCAGTTGTAATAAATAAACACTTTTGGACACGTGGGCTGCAGCTGTTGTCGCATATTATGCCCTCCCTACTAAGGTCTTTTACAGATAAAACGTTTCCTTTATAAAATGTCTTTGGAAAATGAAAAGCCTTAACACTATTTGGTGTTATCTATACCTAGATCCTTCTGAATATTTCAGCTTTAAATATTATAACATGCTTTTTTTTTTTTAATCCCTGCTACCCTTGCTCCTTTCAATATATGGTCCTTAATCCAGTCACAAAAATCTTCATGATCTCCTTGGGTTTGCAATGAGCTTTAAAGCTAAGCTCTTACTGCATATTTTTGGAGGGACTCTCCTTCAACTGCAGTTTACTGTAAAGAGGGTAGACTCCTTTCTTCTCAATATTTTCATACTTCAGAAACATGGGTCATTTCTCCTGGTTTATTTTCAGTGTTCCAGTTTAAATTTTAGAGCTAATTCATTTATGTCTCTCAACTTCCTCATTACTATACAAATACAAAATAATTAAACACGGTAAAAAGCTGACAACACAGCTAAGCATAAAAATAAAACTGAAACCTGGTTCCCAGAACATCATAAAAGGTTTTTATTTCATCATCTACATGCTTGAATATACTTTTTACCTAAAGCATTGTTAAAATATTTGCAAAAGTAGCCTGTATACACTGTGAGTGCATGTGTGTGTGTGAGAGAGACTGCTGTTTGCAGAGCCTTCAACTTCCTCTTTATAAAGAATCCTAATTTCCAAGATGCATTTGCTATATAATTACAGCAAAGTTAAACTCTGTTAACTGTTCAATAATCAGATTAAGAAGTTAATTTTGTTTTTCCATTTAAACTAAAATCAACTTAACTGTATTTTTATCTTAAAACTCCTCCACTGCCATCATTTCCATTCAGAGTCAACATCTTGCCATCTTTGTTGTAAGCACTCAAAGAAATCCTGATAGTAGAAAATGCAAGATTTTTTCCCAAATCCTCTGCTTTTTCCAAAGCACTTCTTTACTTTATCGTTTCCAGGGTTAATTTGCTTAATTTTCCCCCCAATAATTTGCTTACTGAGAAAAACTCTGACATTTTGCATATCTAGAGAACAACAGTCCATCCAGTACAACTTATGTTCAGATAATGGAAACAGACTCAACCACCTCACCCACTATGGACAGAATTAATAAATATACTCCTCCCTTATTAGAAGCTAGTTGATTTTCCACTTTTACATACAGCACTGCCGTGAACACCATTCTGCATACAGTCTTTCCCTTCTTTTAGATTGTTTACTTGGGATAGTGCCCCAGAAGCAAGAATACTGAGTCAAAGGGGTAAACACACTACCAAGCTTCCCACCCCACCAACAAGGCTATGCTCATTTTACTACAGCTGTATCTCAGACACTGCTTAAACATTCTTCCCAACATTACGGAGACAATCGGTATACAAAAAACTACATAATTAATGTAGATGATTTGGTGAGTTAGGGCATAACTCGTGTTACATCATCACAATCCAGGTAATAAACATATCCATTTCCTGGTTAGACTTCTATTTTGGTAATTCGGTAGTTGTAAAATAGTATCTAACTTTAAAATGCTAAGTAAAACAATTCCTAGAAAAATAAAACCTTTTTTTCATATGCTCCTTCACCAACAGCAATTACTCTTCTGTGACTTCTCACAAGTCATTTAACCTTTGGGACTTTGTATGTCTCCAAAATTAGAAGACTGTATCAACCTCACTAGAACTCAAGGAAGTGAAAATTAAAGAAAGAGGGAGTATTTCTCACCTATGAAATTGGCAAAATGTCAAGACTGATCTGTTCCAGTGTTAGTGAGATTACAGGGAAGAGGCATTCTCACATATTACTGGTGGGAGTGTACATTTGAAACTAACCTGAGAGTGCCAGTTAAAATTATTAGTATATCCACCTTTTAAAACTCCTTGACCCAACATGCAACTTTTAAGACTACCCTACAGAAACAAAGACAACAGTAAGAAAGAGTATATGTTTATTACAGGACAGATTATAGTAACAAAATAGAAAAACAGAACCACCTCATGTCCATCAGTATGGAAATTTTTGAAGAAATCATAGCACATCTACACTATGGAATAGTAGTAAGCAGGAATTGCAGCAGCTGTGTTACTTAGGAAGAAACCATGATCTGTGGTATGTAAGAAAGCAAGTTGCTTTGTGATGATCACATAAATCTTCATTCTTAAAGGGAAAACCCTATCTATGTGTTATAAGCATCGGTTTATCACTATAGAGAAAGGTGCAAAGATTCGGCAAACTAGTAACAATTTCCTCAGAAGGAAGAAGGAGAGATGATTCCCTTCTTCATATTCCTTGATGCTATTTGACTTACTATTTTTTGGCTTATTGGTAATTTTTTAATATCCATAGATAGTAACAATTTTGTTAAAGGAAGATTGTACTAGATATCTCTCAAATTCCAATTAACTCTCAAAGCATGAAATTCTGTGAAGCGAGGCTCACAAAGAAGTTGCCGACTCTTTAATGGTTATGTCCAATATTCCATAGAAGTATATAAGATAGTTTTGTAAGGTTTACAACAAAAATAGTTAATATTTATTTTGAAGAGTTTTGATTCAAAGGAGCAATCAGAAGAAAAAAATTAACTTCTGTTAAGCACCTCAGTCTCCTTGCCCAATTCTGGGTAAATGAAACATTGTATTATTTAAATCACTGAACTGTGCAAAAAGTCCCACCAAGAGTTCATGAGAATGTACACTGAAGCTTTCTCCTGCTCACTCCTGGGTTCAGTCTAGTAAATTGGCAGCCATCACAAAGAAAGGGATTCTTACTCTATGAGAATAAGAGCAAGATCTATTTAATCAATTTCCTGCCCAAAAGAAAACAGGAAAAAGCGCCAAAGGGCATTCTAGTCAGTCTCTTCTCTCTAAGGGATATCTTCTAATGAAGGGGGAAAGCATTTTAGAAGAGATAGGCCCACCCTTTCAACTTATCCAAGCTTAACATTTTAATCAACATGTGCTGCAGCTCTTAAAATTTGACTCTTATTGACTGAAAATACACAAATTTTAAAAGGACACTATCAATGCTCCCAAGGGAGTGACCAGAATGTCGACACTCATGAGTGACTAGGAACAATGTTCATGAGTACACCCACCATAGTGGGAAAGCGATCATCTGTGTTAGTCACCAATCACCACAGTAAGGTGGGCTTTTTTAAATATTATAATCATTTTTGAAATTAGCATAGGGAAAGATTGAAATCTTAAATATTGCTCAATTAAATAATTCAAAATCTTCAAATCAGAAAAGAGTCCCACTTTTACACATACCATGCCTACAATCTTCATCGGCTTGTCCATACTTTTTCTGCAAAATAAAAGATACAAAATAAATATCATTAAGTAGTTCAAGGTCTGCTTAAAATAGAGATTTTATCCAAAAAAAGGCTTGGCTTTGTTTCCAAGTTTAAGCATTAATGTTGCAAATTTAATATTCACAGAGCAAAGCTAACTTACATGCTGTCTGAAGATTATACAATACTCTACAACTAAATACCACAATACATCTCCCTAGTCAGTCCATGTACTCACACCCTTACTTCTCACCTTCTCTAACTCAAATCACCAGAACCTCCTGAGCCCCCGCCCTCATTCTCAGCTAGTGACGGCACTGAGAAAACCACAGGCAGGAGAAGAGAATTTCCACAGACTGCCACCACATCCACCTGTTCCCAGGCAAACCGCCCGTGGCCTTCTGCAGCCCTTCCTACCGCCCATGGAGGCCTGCTCTCTGGCCCACTGAAGATCATCACTGCAGCAGGCCTCCCCTATTTCTCCTGCATCACTCATTGTTTGCTTCCTACTGGTTCAGTCCCATAAACAAACATACTGTTATTTCTTCCATCTGAAAAAAATCATGCTCTTGACTTCACTTCTCCCACCAGCTACCATTCCACTGTTTTGTGCCTCTCTGGGGCAAATCTCCTTAAGAATTATGTATAATTATGTATTTATAGCCCTTCCCTCTGTCTCTCGTAAACGCTCTTTAATCAGACAGTCATCCACCGCTCCGTGGAATAGCGATGGACACTGCTGAGCACGCTCTCATTTGGATACACTTTCTTTACTTAGCTACCAGGACACCATACTGCTCTCAGTATTTCTTTACTTGAGGTATTTCTTAGTGTTTCTTTACGTCAGGCTGCTCTGCTGGTTCCTCCTCTTCTCCTCAGCCTCTCAACACTGTGTAGCCACGAGACTAAGTCCTGGGCCCTGTCCTCGTCTCTATCGACACTCTTACCTTGGTGATGTGACCCAGGCTCAAGGCTTTCCATACCCTCTATAGGCCAAGGTTGTTAAATTACTATCTTTAGCCCAGGCTTCTCTCCCAAACTCCACACCTGCACATCTGACTGCTCAACATCTCCAGCAACATCTCGAGCTCAGGGTGTCCAAAATGAACTCCCCTCACAGAACCTGCTCCCCACCCACAGCCTTCTCTCAGATGAGGGCAACTCCATTCTTCCAATTGCTCAGACCAAAAAGTCCAAGTCAGTCATCTGTAACTGTTCTGCAGGCCTCACTCCCTGCATTCAATACATTACAAAACTTTATTAGTTCCACCTTCAAATGATAACCAGAACCAAACCACTTCTCACTGTCTCCACTGCTACCATTCTGGTCTGAGCCACAGGTACAAGTCATCTCTGGCCTGGATTAACCTAATACTCTCCAAACTAGTCTCCCTGAAACTACTCTTACCCCTTTATAGTCTATTCGCAACACAAAATTCAAAGAATTCCTGTTAAATCTGATCATGCCGCTCCTCTGCTCAAAAAGCCACAATAGCTTCCCACCTCAAGTAGAATAAAAACTAGTCCGTACAGTGACCTGGAGGGTCCGAGAGGATTTAGCCCTATTACCCGCCCCCTCACCCCCCATGCATTTTACTCCAGCACGCTGGCCTCCTAGCAGTTCCTCAAAGATGGCAGGCATGCTTCTGCCTCAGGGTCTTTGCGCTGACTGTTCCCTCTGCCTGTACTGCTCGTCCTTCAGATTTCAACTCCCTTACCTCCTTCATATCATCTCAACAATGAGGACTACCTGACCACCCAATTTAAAACTGCAACCTTAACCCTGGCCAGTGTGGCTCAGTTGGTTGGAGCATCTTCCCATACACCAAAGGTCACAGGTACAATTCATGGTCGGAGAACTTACTTAGGTTGTGGGTTCAATCCCCAGTCAGGGTGTGTGGGAGAGGCAATCCATTGATGCTTCTCTCTCACATCAGTGTTTCTCCTCCCCCTCCCCGCCCCCGCACCACCCCTCTAAAATCAGTGAGAGCATGTCCTCAGGTGAGGATTAAAAAAAAAAAAATGCAACCCTATCTCTGACCCTAGTAACCCCAATATTCTTTGCCCTGTTCTTTTTTTCATGCAGACTGTTACCTTCTAACAATCTAAAGTGTTTACTTATTTATAATGTCTAGTGTTTATTATCCATCCCCCTACTAGAAAAAGTACCATGAAGAAGGGATCTTTCTCTTTATTTTTCATCAATGTAGACCGAGAACCTAAAATAGTGTCTAGCACATAGCATGCACTCAATAAATTTTTGTTAAAAGAATGAATAATCTCAAGTACTATGCAACAGTATAATTTTCAAGGCCTTAATATACAGCTGCTTGCCATCAAAGATACTCAGACATCACTGGCCACTTCAATGATCCCCTCCTCAGCCCACAATTAGGTGATCTATAGAGGGAGTCACCTGCAATAGCGCTCACTCAATGAAAAAGGCCATTTTATGTGGTTTGGCATTAACTTATAAATACTGTTTACTTACCAGTTGCAAAAATGAGGCAATTCTGTAAAGAAGACTCTCAATTTTGATGCTTTCTATCTCCAGTGAACACGGCCCTGTGAAGTCGGCCATAGAGTATTGGCCAAGAGAAAGAAGGGCCTCTGTGCAGTGCTTGAGGGCCATTTCATAGTCCTGCCTCTTGAGTGACTCACACGCTTGTTCACATGACTTCTCAGCTCTTCTGTCTTCCATGACTCAGGGACAAAAATCCTAGACGGGGAAAGAACAAGGGAAGAGCCAGTTTTAAAAACTTATTAATTATAAATTCTAGTCCCATTCTTGGCTCAGCTGGCTTAATTATCTATCTGAATAGTTACTCTCAACTAGTCTTTTGATCAAGGTCACAGCTGAGCAACTATTTATGCTACAGGACCCATACTTCTCTTTTATATTTTATGAAGTCTTTAATAAGATCCAAGCAAAGTATCAACCATAAATCAGGGTCACACCAACAATACATCCAATTTATAAATGAGACAAATTTATAAATGAAACATGACTTTGAATATTGCACAGTGCAACAAACTATAAAGGCTTCCCTTTTGTTTAACCAGAAGGTGCAGAAATGTTTCGTATCCAAACTTGCCAACTTGTTTTATAATTCTGTGACTGTGTTTGCAGAGAATCAAAATTTATACCACGTAGAATTTATCCCACCAATATTTAAAAACTGTCTAAAATGCAAGTTTAAACTGCCTATTAATTCAATTCAGCAAACATTTCCTGAGGCCAGGCCCTGTGCTAGCAGCACTGAATTCAAAGACAGAGCATGTCATCACTTCTTTTAAGAAACTCAGATTCAAAACAGACATATAGATCAATGGAACAGAATAGAGAGCCCAGAAATAAACCTACCCCTTTATGGTCAATTAATATTTGACAAAGGAGGCAAGACCATACAATGGGGTAAAGATAGTATATTCAAAAAATGGTGCTGGGAATATTGGACAGATATGTGCAAAAAAATGAATCTAGACCACCTTCTTACACCATACACAAGAATAAACTCAAAATGGGTTAATGACTTAAATGTTAGACTCAAAACTATAAAAATCCTAAAGAAAACATAGGCAGTAAAATTTCTGACATTTCTCATAGCAATATTTTTTCTGACATATCACCTCGGGCAAGGGAAACGAAAGAAAAAATAAATAAGACTACACCAAACTAATAAGTTTTTGCACAGCAAAGGAAACCATCAACAAAATGAAAAGACAATGCATGATATGGGAGAATATAATCATCAACAATACATCTGATAAGGAGTTAACATCCAAAATTTATAAAGAACTTATAAAACTCAACACCAAAAAAACAAATAATCCAATTTAAAAAATGGGCAAGAATGAATACACATTTCTCCAAAAAGAACATACAGGATGGCCAACAGACATATGAAAAGATGCTCAACATCACTAAGCATCAGAGAAATGCAAGTTAAATTACAATGAGATATCACCTCACACCTGTCAGAATGGCCACCATTAATAAATCAATAAACAACAGCCCTGCCTGGTGTGGCTCAGTTGCTTGGGCGCCATCCAGTGCACCATCCCACAGGGCACATTCCTAGGTCGTGGGTTCAATCCCCAGTCAGGGTGCACGCTGGAGCAATCGACGGATGTTTCTCCCTTACATCGATGTTTCTCTCTCTCTCTAAAATCAATTTAAATATATATATATATCCTCAGGTGAGGATTTTTAAAAAGTCAACTTTACGAGAACATTCCTATCACTAAGTTACTTCTCACTACTTTTATAAAATGGAAACCTGTTTTAAAATTTATCCATCTTAGTACAATCCAAAAACAAAAACTGATACATTTGACTTTATCAAACTTAAACATTTTTGCTCTTTGAAAGACACTGTTAAAAGAATGAAAAGACAAGCTAATGACTGAGAGGAATCTATTTGCAAATCACATACCTGAAAAAAGTTTTGTAACTGAATATGTAACAAACTCAAAACCCAACAAAAAGAAAACCACCCAGTTAGAAGCTGAGTAACAGACACTCCAGAAAGAGGACAATGATGGCAAACTAGCACGGGAAAGATGTTCAGTAGCATCAGTCAGTAGAGAAATCCACATTAAAACCATGACCAGCCACCACTACATACCTGTTAGAATGGCTAAATTTAAAATACTGATAGTATCAGTGATGTGGAATAAATGGAACTCCCATACATTGCTATTGGAAATACAGATTATATAGCAACAGTGGAAAAAAGGTTGACAGTTCCTTAGAAAGTTAAAAATATACTCACTATATGACCCAACAATCCCTTCCCCACCGACAGCTACCCTAGAGAAATGAAAACTTATGTTCACACAGAAATCTGTACCAAATGTTTTAGCAGCTCTATTCATAACTCCTAAAAACTGGAAACAACCCAAATGTCCTTTAATGAATGACAATGGAAAGGTACTCAGTAATAAAAAGGAATAAACTTTCAATACATTCAATAACTTAGGTGAATCTCAAAGACAATGTAAAAGAGCCCAGTCTCAAAAGCTCCCATAGTTTATGATTCCATTTATATAATATTCTCAAAAGAACAAAACCATAGGCACAAAGGAAAGGCCAGTGGTTGCAGGGGTTATGGGATGGAGACGGATAACTACAAGAGGATAGCATGAAGGGGTTTTGAGGGGTGATGATACTATTCTGTATCCTGATTGTGGTGATGGATGCACAAACTATACATGTGTTAAATTAATAAAACTGCATACCAAAATTTTAAGTCAGTTTTACTGTATGATCATTTTTAAAATAAAAATTTTTCATTTTTTGAAAAATATGAATCTTCAATGTCACAATGGACATGGTTTTTATAAACTGAAAAGAAACAGGTACAGAAGGATATGTTTGTTGTTAATAAATGGAAAACCTATACGTTTCCCTTCCCACACATGCAGGTTTTAGAGGCAAGAATGGAGCCTCAGAAAGAAGTCGCCAAACAGAACAATCATTGAGTTCACTTGGCACAAAATGTAGAATGCATCTGAAGAATTCCATCATAGCTAGATAACTGGCGCAGGACCAAAAGTTAATATTAGAAGAAAAATGAAATCAATAGTGCACCACAGAGACTTGACTTGGGGTGGTGAACACACAATGCAATGTACAGATGATATGTTATAGAATTGTACACCTGAAACCTATAATTTTATTAACCAATGTCACTCCAATAAATTCCATTTTTTTAAAAAATTTAAATAAATAAAAGTTAAAAAAGAATAAAAATAATGCACCACAGAGGTGGTAGGCAGACTGGTCTGGGCTGAGAGAGTTTCAACAAAAGATTATAAAAAAGGAGCATCATTCTCCTCCCACTGTGAACTTCTTCCTGTGACAATATGAGAATAACCACCAGGTCACCTTGAAATCAGGTCACAAGATGTACTTGTATTTTTTTTAAAAATCAGTTATCTTCCCTAAATTTTTTCTTGTGAATGTAGTCATGGTCCTCTTTCATTTCAAAAGACCTATATCTTATTTGATTAAGACAGACTTCAAAGAACAAAAATAAACTGATCAAATAGCAGCAGCCAGTAGTAGTAACTAAAATCTCAATCTAAAATGAAGATGACGGCCCTGGCCGGGTAGTTCGGTGGGTTAGAGTCATCCCGACGGTCCGCCAAGGCTGAGGGTTCTATCCCCAGGCAGGGCACATACAGGAATCAAGCAATGAAGGCATGAATAAGTGGAACAAATGGATGTTTCTCTCTCTCTCTAAAATCAAGCAATAAATAATTTTTTAAAAATAAAATAAAATGAAGATGATTTCTGTCTCTGCTTTGTACACTAGTCTCCATTAGAAAAAATATATATCCATCTCATAATTCACTTGAGTGGAATGAATCTGTCAAGGTTTTAGAAGACAGATGAGTTATGCTACAAACATTACCACTACCTACTTTACAGAAATGACATCCATAATCAGTTCTTGATTACCCCAAGTTATCTTTAATTATTAAACTATATAAACAATAAAACCATAGGAAAACTGAAAAGACACATACAATAAAATACATAAGTTTCTTTACAAATCTAACCAAAAAATTTTAACAAAAGGGCTGGAAGTTCACATTTTGGTTTTTTTAATTGTATTTTTTTCCTTCACAAACTTTGAGTTCTTTGAAGCCAGGGATTAAAAATTATTCCGCTTTTACTTTTTTTTAAGTTTTTTTATTTTATTTTATTGATCCTCACCCAAGGATATGTTTTTATTGATTTTATAGAAAGGGACAGAGAGAGAAACATCAACTGGTCGCCTCCTCCCAGGGGTCGAACTCACAACCTGGGTGTGCACCCTGACAGGGAATCAAACCCGAGACCTTCTTCGTGGCACAGGAAGGTGCTCCAACCAGCTGAGCCACACCAGCCAGGGCTCATCTTTGACTTTTGTAACACATTCGCTTTTATCTCCTCTCTTCTTCCAGATTCCCAGTTAGGTGATACTTTTCCCACAGACACTCAACATTGAATAAAAATGATTTTTTGAAGATGTGGTTAATAAGCCCAGTAGATTCTAAATTGCTCTAGTCTGACTTCTAAAATAGAAAGTTGTGTTTCTATAATGCTCAGACTTGGTTGTAATGCTCTTTTCCCAGCATTTTGCCTTCTGTTTGCAATAGCACTGAATGATGCTTTCACGGAATGATATGCAATGCTTCCAAGATGCATTTCCCAGGCAATACTTAGCATTATGAAATTTTATATTTTACTTTTTTTTTTACACTCACCCATTTGCCAGTTCACCTGCCTCTTTTTAGTCCACTCACTCCTTTCCCACATTTTTTTTAAAGTCAGTCATTTGACTCTGATCTGCCTCATACATTACTTTCCCTGTGGAAACCCCATTATTCACCTGAAAACAAGACTCTAGTAAAAGTAGTAACTGCACAGTGACAAAAAGAAAAGCCAGATGGACACATTATGAAAACGACCCACAGGGCTCAGCGCAGCGGGGTAAGGAGAGCAGAGCAGAACACGCTCCTTTCCCACTGGGCGGCACAGCCCTGGTGAGACAGCGCAGCCAGGAAAAGTGTGTCGTGCTCCCTCAGAGACGAAGAAAGTGAAGACCATCGCTCTAGACACAGCCAGTGGTTCCAAGATGTCTATGAAAGAGCTTCCAAGCACGTGACTAGACAGATATCCAGACTACCCACAGCCTTGCTACAACCTAACTTTCCCACCACTCCCCC